GTAGATAATATGTTAATAAAGATATTTAAGCTTCTCTATCAAAATTTTCAAGTTAATATTCATATACACAGGCTTGACATAAATTTGATCTAAGTTTTCTGCTTGGTGATGTAATTGAGATTCTTTCTTTGCCTTCATCCTGCAAATCCACCACATGTATAATGTAAAAATTGGGTTTTAGGTCAGAAATAGATTCAAATAAGAATTTAAAGAAAATAAACTTAATCATTCTCAATTATCATAGAAAAATTGAAATGGAGATCTGCAGTAATGAATAATGGTGTGTGATGAATTTGTGAAATTAGACAGGATTCCTTCCTATATTACTTTTGAGGTATCACAGGCTTTTGTATTTACTATTTAGGTATTGGACCCTCATTTCTGCACATTTGGTTCTAGCTGCACCATTAGCCATGAGACAATTCAGTAAGTTCAATTTTTGCATTTTGCTGATTTTCTCTTCTTTTTTTTTTGTCATGTGTATGGTTTTTAGTATTGTCCTTTCAGGCACTTCTTGTCTTTTACGGTCTTCTGTTTCCATCAATTTATGTAGATTGCTTAAATTTTTAAATTAGTGGTTAATATACAGTGGAACTTTTTTATCAATTTGTTACACTGGTGCCTAAATAAAGGGTATCTATATTCTTTCTTTGCCAAGATAAATAGGAAAGTGCTGAGAAAATTTGGGAGTTGAATTCGGAGAAGTTGGTTCATTTACCTACTTGACTGTTTGTTTAGAAAGTTGGCCTTTTTATACATGTTCGCTACATGATTAATGATTTTGCTTATTCTGTGTTTCTGTGACAATCATTCACTATTATTTACTTTTGCGACTGATACCACAGGAAATCTTTGAAGATTGAAAAAAAAAAATTAGAAATTGAGGTCTTCAAAGGCGAGAACACCTGCTGAGGACTATGATTACTTTGTTAAACTTTGTACGAATCGGCGATTGTAAAGTAGTAAGTCAAATTTACTATTACAATTCACCAAAAATGAATTCTGCTATCTTTTTGTTTGAATTTCAAAGTTAATATGTTACTAGCCTTTTATTAATTGGCAATAGAAATCATAACTGCTTGCTGGTTTTTTCCCTTTTGTCTTCTTAGGTGCATTGTTGATGATCGAAGTGGATGGATTTCAAGCATACTTCGGCCATAATGGTGTGCTATACAAGACTGGCTAAATAAGCATTACATAGGCAATATGGTTTAAGCTATCTTTTGAGACTTCTAATTTGGGATCATTTTAAATTTCTGTGTGGATGTTGGCTTGTAACCTGAAGCTTCTGTTATGCTGTGTTTGTTGCTTGCTACATTATATCTCTCCGTGTAGATGTATGCTATTTTTCGCACAACATTAATATGACTTCATTACCAGCGTCTTGTTTTCTATATACTAAGGTACAATANCGTCTTGTTTTCTATATACTAAGGTACAATAGGTGAAAATTTCCTTCATCATAGAATATTGCAGTATGCCTGAAACTTTAATTAAAACCTCTACCTAGAGGTTTTCATTTTGCACATTCATGATTTGATTTTTTTTTTGTTTTGTTCATTAATCCTTGCTTCAAGTTGACTTGTGCATACTCATTTAAGTATTTAATTCAATTCATATAAAAAAATTATTTAATTCAATTATTTCTGGTATTTTCATGTTGCTGTTTCTTATGCTTTTAGTGTGGACAACTTCGGATGCTTTCAATTGTTAGCTTTTTTAATTTTCAGTGTAAAAATTTAGTTGGGTTCTTTTCATTTACCTACAATTTTTGCTTGATGTGCATTATTTTGCTGTTAAAAACGAAAGGACACTAAGGACATACTTTTGTAGGCGTTTTCCTACTAATGATTTTTTTTAAATACCTAGGTATACACATCTCAAATACTTGGCTGTAGAAATCTCTCAAGAGTATGCAAAACAGCAGGTTGGAAGTTCTATCCATTTTGGATACTATCAGTGATTGTCTTGGTTGACAGTATAGCTCTTTTGTGAACTTCTTGATGGATGCTTGTGTTGAGTTTATATTCTAAAGATTGGCATGCAGTCTTCAGTTGTTTATGGGTTCTTAAGGTAAAGCTTTGACTTTCACACATCTGGCTAACAGCACACTGCCACATAACGAGTAAAAAAAAAAATTGTATGAAAAATCCCCTCCATCCAAGCCTCCATCCAAGCTTGGATGGAGGGATTTCATGAAGAAATCCCTCCATCCATGCCTCCATCAAGTTTGGATGGAGGGATTTCTCCTTGCCTCCATCCATGAAGAAATCCCTCCATCCAAGCCTCCATCAAGCTTGGATGGAGGCATGAAGACAAGCCTCCATCCAAGCTTGGATGGAGGGATTTCTTTATGCCTCCATCCTTAATGATTTTTTTTTTAAATACCTATGTATGCACATCTCAACTACAACCTGCAATCCTCCATTAAAAACCCATGAAAGTTTACTTGCTAGCTCGCCAACGGACCTACATCTGGCCTCAAATTTTGGCTTATTAATATTCAAATAGCAATAATATCTTTTCTCTTCTATGTTTTGATGTCTGGGTTTTGTCGCAGAACGTCCTAAAAGAAGCAGATGATTTGTCGATGGATTATAACTAATAGCCGAGGGTTATACCGCCTTACTTGTCACTGTGAGCTACCTTTTAGTTTCAATTTCAATTTTTTCCTTCTAATCATTGTGTGTATTGGTTTCTTCCATGTTTTTGCTATTTCTATATGGGAACTATATAGCTTTGCTTGAATCATTGTATACATTTTTGACTATGTGACCATCTTTATTTAGTAGTGTGGTTTGTGCTTTTAAATTGCCACTTCACGTTTACAAAACAAACAAGTATAAATTTATTCACAAAAATTCAACTGAAAACAGAAAACAGAGTTTCATTACGAAAATTTGGAAAAAAATATTCTAAAAGGAAAACATAATAACCTTCAAAAAACATTACATTAACGTACAAACCAATGAAGACAATTGAAATTGGAATTCATTTTCAGTTACATCAATTGCAACCGCTTACACGTACTGCACATCAAATTTTGTATCATGAAACTTTTTGCCAATCTTTCACTCTATATTGCAACACACATCATGCATGCTCTATATTGGACATTATAGTTCTATTTTCATACTTTTTTATTCAGCAAAGAATTGGCCCTTAACATTGAAATTAGAAGTGATTATTTGTAAGTCGAATTGATTTTCCATGAACTTCAAGTTTCTGAAAAATATGTAATTTTATTTTGATTCATAACTTCATGTATTCGTGCTAGATATTCTTGAGTTCGTATGCACGATCTTTTGTAGATTTAACTTCTCTTTTCATGTTTTTTTTTAACTTCAACAGTACATTGATCGGGCTTTTGGTTCGGACAAATTTGCTGTCTTGAACTTCAGGGTTCGATTTCAAACCTTTCTAGAGTGCTACGATTTTTTTGTGTAAGGTTTTATGCTTGTTTTTATTTTATTATTTAGTACAATATTTTTTATTGTTGCTGGCGGTTGAATTTGGCATTCTGGAAGGCTTGATTGTTTTGTTATGTATAAGTATTAATTATGATTATGAAATTTTGTTACAATTTGAAGGATTTGATACGCAATCCTTCTGATAGGTGATTTAGACCGATATTAAATAAACATAATGAGCTGCAGTTATAGTTGTTTGATTTATTGTGCCAGAATAGATAGAGCACTGTGTTTTCACGAGCTGAAGTTTAAAGCGTGTCAAAGTTGTCTGTTCATCTGAAACAAGTGAAGAATATGGTAGCAATAGATTGTGAGTTTGGTGTCTGATCTTGATTTATTCTTTTATCGTATGAACTGACCTCCATGTTTTGTGAATCTGCAGGAGTTTTATTAGTTAGTTGTAATGGCAGATCAATACCAGCATTCAACTATTGTTAAGCAGGTAGCCAACCAGCTACATATTATATAAGCCGCTAAAAGTTAAAGAATTTTTGCTTGCAGGTCTTTTGTTGACTCTTGCTGGCATAAGAGGTGTAGGAGTTTCTGTAAGTGTTGGTTTGATTCAGTGCATCTCATAAAAATACATCATTAACATTTGCCTCCATCCACATGCCTCCAAGTGGAACCATCTAACAAATGCATTTATACTTTGCACTCTATTGAAACAATGAAAAAAAAAACAGGGGAGCGAATGCAAGTGAAGATTCTACTATTAGTTCTAAGACCTTCCAGTCAAATTTGTCCCCTTCTTTACCGAATCAATGTCTCCCTTTGCAAAAAAGAGATGATGAGAAGTGATTGAAACATACGTGCAAGCTTCAAACTTTATTTCCACTGAATCTTGTTTGAAGTATGTATGGACAAATACAATTCATTCAATTAACAGATTTCAGGGAGAAAAATGGGTGTGAAATTTGTCTGATGGTCTATAATTGTCTAATGGTCTATAATGTGTTATTCCACATTGAATTATCTAAAGTGATATCATCTGAAGCTCAATATGTTATAAATTTTTGNATTTGATTTCTTTGACTTTGCAGGCGGTGGACTATGGGGTTCACAGGTTGTAAGAGCACAACACTGTTGGGGTATCACTTTAAATCATCATTCTTCAATTTGACTTGGTTTTTTCGTTGATTAACATTATGTGTGGACGCATGCAACTGGGTTCTTACTTGCACATTATATGAATTGTTATTTTCAGTAGTAGACTGATTCTCAAGTCTGAGATAGCATATCAAAATATGAAGAAAGATAGTAGATTTTCATGGAGAGATGATTCTGTTGGTTTTTTTTTTTTTTTAATTGTGTTGCAAATGGAGTGGGTTTGGAATCTTTTGAATAAGTGCTAAGTATATGCTTTTTGTCTCTATATAGGAATTTTTTATGTGAAAACAATTTACTTATCTGTTTTTAGTTTTGTTTCTCTGTAGCTTCCTTTATATGGTATTTAATTTTGATGATTTTTTTTGAGCTCTCGACAAATTGTGAAACCCAGCAAGAAATTTAGAAATCTTGACCTGGTATGTGAGTTCTTGCATTTTGGAATATCTTTTTCTGATAAACTGAACCAAATTGCTCTGTCTCTCTCTAAAAAAAAATCCATAGAACCAGCCAATTCTTAGCTGTATTTAACTAAAAATTTGTTCGTTTCTTGTGTAAATTAATGATGATATGTGAAAATTTAAAGTTTTACTTCACTTTGATTTTTTCCCTTTACGAAAATATTTGATGTACAATTTTGTGTTTCTTGATGTATTTGGGAGACATTGTGCGTAGAGTAATTCTTCAGTTGTCGGTGAAGCTGGATGTTTTTGGACCAGAATCTTCCAAATTGCACGTGCCTTTCATCTTGAGGTCATTTTTTTATTTTTAGGGGGGTGTATTTAATTGAGACTTTTAGAGACTTTTTAAAAGTCTCTGAAAGTCACGGGGTATTCAATTGAAACTTTTTGGAAGTCTCCATAAGTTACGGGGTATTCAATTGAGAATGACTTTTGGAGACTTTATAACTTATGAGATTTCTAGAGACTTTTTTGTAAAAAAAGTATGAATAAAAAAAGTCTCCCCAAATCTCACCTTGAACGAGAGATTTCTCAGAAAGCTACCATCCGCTTTATAGAAGGTGGGTTTTCTCCTCCATCTATCTTCTTCCGGTCGGGTATTGTCCGCATCTTTTCTCCTCCATCTCTTCCGATCAGGTATTGAGACATATTCCTCCTAATTTTTGAACTTCTCGTAGACAACTCCATCCTTGCATCAGAGTTGTGCAGCAAGGAAAAAACTATTTCACCAATTCTACCATCGAACTCCCAAAGTGCACCTCTCATATTGGTTCGAAGGAATAATTTTCTTGAAGGGCAGATTCTGACATTAGAATTTATAA